GTCCCAGAGGATAGCAGGAGCGTGGGAAGCTAACCTGCCTCCCAGAAACTGGATGACGCTTTCTCTGCCCCCTCAGCAGCTGAATTCATCTGAGGGAGCTGCACATCCAAGCCCACTCCATTTAGGATTTCAAAAAACAAATGCACCTAGTAGGAATTGCCTGCCATTTTGGGAAAATGGAACAATGGTAATTTAAAAATCGAAAGCTATGTTGAGGTTGGCCAACCTTCCCAAGGGTATGCTTCATGTGTTAGTCATGTATATAGGTGAGAATAATTTATGCCTTTTCCATGAAACATTCTAGAGGAAAATACTGTTGTACCTCAGACCAGTTCTCAGAAGCCAGCATTTCCAAAGATGTAGAATTTTTGGAAACTAATATGTACTAATTTCCACCAGCTGCACACTTTTAGGGGTCCCTGCAAACACCATGACTGACAAGGAAACCATCCAAATGAGGTAAGAAGGAAACCCAAATTCAGCCCAACTTAGTGCTAGGTCAGACGTCTGGAGTCCAATGCCACGTGGTTTATTTTTTGCATATTTAAACACGAAACTTTGGGGGAAAGTTTCCTCCTGGCAGTTTATCACAACAAAGCTTTAGGCATGGTTACAGTCAAGCTCCTTTGCAAAGTGCATCTCTAGAAAACACCTGTGGCCTTTTCCACAGGAATGGGTTCTACTGACTGTGACAGTGCTCAGGATAAGGACCTGGGGAGGACGGGTTTGTATAAGCAGAAGGGTGGGTTCTATTGCCTGGGAACCAATGCTCAGGATTCTGGGGGATTCTGGTGAAGGCTGACTTCATAGACTAACAACAGATCACCAAGTTACCAAACAATATCCACTCTAGCCTTCCGGGTGAACAGGTGTCAGTGTCTTCCATTGATAAACAAAGCCTGGGTGTTTAACAGTTCTGGTTTCTCTAGTGCTGTCTGTGAGCACATAGACATCTTACCCTCTACTTGATGAATTAAAACCATGAATTAAAACCAAATAAGACCATACTTTCCCCTCTATAGTCTTGAGAGATACTGGAGAGATTTCTTTTTTATTCTTTTATTAGTTCAAATTAGGAACAAGCTTGCTTCACATGTCAATCCCTTCTCCCTCTCCCTCCCCTCCCCCCCAACATCCCACCTGCCCCTAGCCATCCCCCCTCCACTCCCCAGGCAGGGAAAGGCCCTCAAAAGGGGCTACCCAAAGTCTACCACATCAAATACTGGAGAGATTCATTGAGTATCAATCAGCATTTTTGAAATCTCTAGCATTAAAGTTTCAGATTTGTTTTTATTATTTTAAGTGTGTGTGTGTGTGTGGTGTTTGTGCACATGAGTGTAGTGCCTGTGGAGGCAAAAGTTGACGTATGCCCTGGAGCTGGAATAAGCAATTGTCAGCTGCCTGATGTGTGTCCTGGGGACCAAACTTGGGTCCCCTACAAGAGCAATAGAGACAACTTAACCACCCAGCGATCTTTCCAGCCCCCAGCTTCAGTTTGAAGCCTCCCTTTTAGACTTGGGTTTGGAATTATCTTTAGTCTCAACCATAAACTTCAACATGTGTATACTATACACTAGAGAGAGCATCAGGTTCTTGAAACTAAGAAGTGGATGGGCCTACTCTCTCTTCATAAGATCTTTCCGTTTGGGAGACTGACAAATAAACCAGTGTCCCAATATAAATGACAAGTGTGGTGTTTCAACATGGGTCCCACAGGCCAGCACAGGTATCCAGAATTGTGATAATTATCATGGTGATAGCAACTGAAGCCAACATTTGTTGAGCGCATGCTACATGTGAAACTCTTAATAAGAACCATATAAACACATTTTTAAAAATCTATAAAATAAAATTTACTTCACAGTAGAGGTAAGATATTTTCATAAAGACAGGATAAGACTTTAGGGGCTTAAATAAATAAATAATGACAGGGTCATTTCCCATGATGCACTTGTCTTGAGGGGAGTCTTCAATGGCACAGTTGCCTTGCCATTTGAAAGGCAGAGGATGGATGCTGAGCTCAAAACTTCCTGGTGCTAGGCATGGTGGCTAAGCCTTCAATCCCAGAATATTCAGGAGGCAGAAGGAGGTGGATCTCTGTAAGTTCGAGACCAGCCTGATTTACATAGTGAGTTCCAGGTTAGCCAAGGCTACATAGGGAGGCCCTGTTTCAAAAGACCAAAACCAAACAAAACACAACTAACTGGCCAAGAATTTAAGGGTTTACCTTAAATCCTCAATCAAATCTCAGTTTCAAATCAAATTGTTTACTAAAAGAAATGCAAGAGCAGAAAGAGCAATTCTGGTGGTATCATCACTAATAGGATAGAGGGCCTGGAAATAAACTCTTGAAGCTACAGACACCCACTTTTTGACAAACTTGGCAAAAGCAAACATTGGAGCATAGACAGCCTCTTTAACAAATGGGGCTGGAAGAACGAGGTATCCACATGCCAAATGAAACTAGATATGCATTTCTCGACCAGCTAAAAAATTCAAAATTGATCAAACAACCAGAGGAAAATAAGGAAGACAAATGATAATAAATGCATAGGCAAGGACTTCCTGTCGAGGGAGTTGGGGTGGGGGTGGGGGATCAGAAGTTCCAGAAATTTGAGCAAGAACTGACAGAAAGGATTACATGAAATTAAGATGGCTCTGTAAGGCAAAGGAGACACAGAATGAAGATACAGCGTACAGAACGCAGGAAGAAATTGACCTGCTGTACACCGCACAAGGCACTAACGCGTAGGATATATATATGAAGAATCATAAAATAAAGCACCAATAAAGCAAATCATCTAATCAATGAATGTACAAAAGAATTCAATGGACAGTTCGCAAAAGAAATCCAAAGGGTAAAAGGAAGTAAAGAAAAAAAGCTATCAACATCCTTAGACACCAGGGAAATGCAAATTTTTTTAAAGATTTTATTTGTTTTTTTTATATATACAGTCTTCTGTCTGCATGCCAGCAGAGGACACCAGATCTCATTCAAGGTGGTTGTGAGCCACCATGTGGTTGCCGGGAATTGAACTCAGGACCTCTGGAAGAACAGTCAGGGCTCTTAACCACTGAGCCATCTCTCCAGCCTGGGAAATGTGAATTTTAGCCACAGTGATATCCCCCCTCCCTGGTCAGAAAGACTGTGGTAAAGAAATTGAGCATATGCTGAGAAGATGCAGGGGGCAGGCGCTGGGGAGAGGACCCTCATACGCTTCTTGTGGGCATGTAAATTACTGGAGCCCCTACAGAAATCAGTATGGAGCCGACTCAAAACAGACTTGAAGACATAGCTCAGTTGGTACAGTGCCTGCCTCAAATGCCGAAGACCTAGGTCCAAGCCCAGGCACTCCATGAAGCAGATGTGTGGTGCACACAGGGGAGCCTGTCACAAGGAGGCAGAGTGGAGAGAATCAGATGTTCAAGATTACCCTCTATTATAAAGCAAGTTCAAAGCCAACTTGAGTTACATGGGACTCTGTCTCAAAAGCAACAACACCCCAAGCATAACTACCTCATGACTCCAAACTACTTCCGGGCACTCAAAGGGATTTAGGCATACCACCCAAGTACCCATACATCTATGTTTATTGTGGCACTAGTCACCACAGCTAAGATACAGACTCAGCTTAGATGATAGACAAAGGCAACTTGGAAAGGAAGGGAATTGTTTCAACTTATACTCCCATCATGAGGGCGGGGTAGTCAAGACAAAAGCTCAGGCAGAAACTGAAGCAAAGGCTATGGATGCATGCTGCTTTCTGGCTGGCTCTGTGGCCTCTACTCAGCTGGCTTTCTATACAGCCCAGGCCCACCTGCCTAGGGAAGGTTCTGCCTACAGTGGACTGTGCCCTTAATTGAGGAAGTCCCCCACTAGCATGACCTCAGGCCAGCCTGATCCAGCTAATTCTCCAACTAAGACTCGCTCAGATGACTCTGGACCGTGTCAAGCCAACAGCTAAAGATAACTATTAACAGATGTTAATCAACAGATGGATGGATTAAAAAAAGTTAGAATATGACTACGCCATGGAGTTTTAACCAGTTAATTCGGAAGAACGAAATTAACTTTTGGGGACACAGGAGGTGTGATTGGAACTGGAGGTCATGCTAAATGAACTAAGCCAGGCAAAAAAGGACAAATATCATAGGTTTCCTCTAATGCAAAATTCCAGATTTACACAAACAAACAAATAAATGGCACTGAGATAGAAGGGAGCTGTCTGTGGAGAGGAAGGAGACTAAAGGGACAAGGGCTGGGGAGTGACCAATAGTGCATGTTTGGTCCCATGGACGGAATCTAGACTTAACTGTGTGTGTGTGTGTGTGTGTGTGTGTGTGTGTGTGTGTGTTTGGCATGAAACTGGAGCAGGGGTCATTTGGGGGTAGGAGGGGACCAGTGGGAGGGATGGGGTGTGAACATGGCCAAAGCCCAATAAGACTCATACAGGTATGAAATATCATTCTGACGACCATTATTTTTGTATGATGAAAAGTAACAAAACAACAATAAAACAAATAAAAGTGCTGAAGACAACCCAAGAGTTACAGATAAGACATGACAACATTTTCACAAAAGTGATGCTTCCTGGTGGGTTTGTCAACGTGATATAGGCTAGGGTCATCTAGAAGAGCGATCCTTCAGTTGTGAAAACCCCTCGATCACACTGGCCTGTGGGAGAGTTCAGCTCACTATGGGTGGTGTCACCCCCAGCAGGTGATCCCAGATTATATAAGAAAGTGGAGGAGCACGCCCTGAGGAGAAGGCTGACTTTTCCCACAGCCTCAGCTGAGTGCCTGCCTACAGCTTCCTGCTGGGGTCCCTGCCCTGACTTCCTCTCTGATGGGCTGTGATGTGGGAGTGCGAGCCACATAAGTCTTTCTTCCCTACCTCATGGTCATGGTGTTCATCACAGCAGTAGAAAACAAACAGGACACGGTGTCAAGATAGATTTTATTTGTAATGTATTTGTATATATATATACACATATCTATTTCAGAGCCTTTTGAATGGCTTGATGTGTTCCAAGCCTGAAGACCCCATAGAGTACTTGGAAACTTGTTTACAGAAAGTCAAGGACCTAGGAGGCTGTGAGAAGGTGAAATGGGACACATTCGTCGGCCAGGAAAAGAAGACGCTACCGCCGCTGAACGGAAGCCAATCTCGGAGATCCTTCCTCAGAAACGGTAATGTGTGTGCAGAAATGATAGGCACCTCTCGGGAGCGCAGATCTCTTCAGAATACACCATGCAGACTGGAGAGAGCACTTTTCAATGACTGGATTCTGGAATTTGTCTTTTTCTGCTACTATTCTAATAAGGGGGGAAACAGTACACCATTATCTGGCAATTTTCTGCAAATTTAATGAAAGTTGGTACTACCAAATTCATTATTTTGCAACATAAATTACATTTAAGAACCATGACATTATTATTTTTTATTGCAAGTAGGCTCTTCCCAACTGCACGAGTAGAATGCAGGTCAAATGGTAGTTAGTATACGACAACTCAACATTTTTTATTAGTTAGAAAGAGCCATTGCTCAGTAATATTGCTTCCAAGGACAGGGTACATTTTAGTGTGTTTACACAAGTGTGTGGGTGGCTTATAAGGCTTATTCAATAAAGATACACTGACTATTAAACACAGTAGATTTGCCATTTGGGTGAAAGATGCAGCAATAAATTTGCTGACCGTGTCAGGGGTTCTTGAGAAGTGAAGGCTGTAGTTGGTTGAAGCAGATTCGAAACTTTCCAGTCCCGTTCAGAAGTGTGTGTTTGTCAGAAATCTTGGGCCAATCAGCCTTCTCAGCTGAATGAAGTTGTGAGCATAATAGTAGGCAAACGTAAAATTAGTTCCAATCAGGGGAAGCAAACTAATTCTCTTCCAGTAGCCAAGACAATTATATTTCCAAAATTTAAGCCATGTTCAAAAATGGTTCCTCAGTGACGTTGGAAAAGATGGCTCAGCACTTCAGACTGGGTCCTCCTCTCCCAGAGAACCTGGCTCATGACCAGCAGCTCCCAAGTGCCAGCCCCGCTCCCCCAGTGGATCTACTGCCCTCTTCTGGCCTCTTCAGGCATCTGCACTACTCAAGTGCGCATACCCCACACAGAGACACACATAAATAAATAATAAATTAAAAATACTGTTCACAGAAGTTTCAGGCATACCAAGAGGATGAAACACGTTTCCTTCTCAATAACTATAAGAAGTAAACAGTGCTTAGTCTGTGTGGCCTCGTCAGTCACGACCCAGTTAGATTTTATTTGAATATGAATGGGAAAAAAGTCACGGTGTGCCAATTTTTAAGAAGCTCAATAAGAGGAAAGTAGAAATGCCATTCCCTCAAAGACATCTCCAGAGTGAGAAACATCCTTCCTTGTCCAGACAGAGTGATTGTGATGCTAATTATATTTGCATTAATCACTAGCCAGGCCTTTCCATATTACACCTGACTTCCTATACCTGGAATATATGATAGGAAGACACAAAACCTTTTCTAAACGCATTTATTTTGTAATTACAAATTCTTGTTTTATGTAGTGATTTACCCTTTGTATTCTTTGTTTTTATTTTAAAATGCTGGGGATCAGACTCTGGGGAATCTCACACAATTAAAAAAAGCATCCCATCTACTGAGCTGAAGCTCTACCCCTTCCTGGGTGTAAGCCATAATTGGTGCAATAGGTTTTTAGATTCAACAAAATTATTAATTGCCCCTAAGCTTAAATATTGGTAGAAACATAGTGATCCATGGATTATTTTTTGCAAATGTAGTGACAATGGTATACATAGAATTATCTTGAGAAATTATTCTTTTTTAAAAGATTTTATTTATTATGTACACAACATTCTGCTTCCATGTATATCTGCACACCAGAAGAGGGCACCAGATCTCATAACCGATGGTTGTCGAACATGTGGTTGATGGGAATTGAACTCAGGACCTCTGGAAGAGCAGTCAGCGCTCTTAACCTCTGAGCCATCTCTCCAGCCCAAGAAAATATTTTTATCATCTAAGCAGATTAATTTCCTAAATGCAAATGCCATAAAGCAAAGGCAAATGATTGGCAGAAACATTTTTCATTTATTTCATTTTAAGGAAGAGCAGGTTACTATGACCAATGCTTTTCCCATCACGGCCTTTCCCCACATTTTCTAAAGTCTGTCTACCACCGTCTGACGTCTCCATTAGTGGAATCGAACAGTCTAGTAAGCCAGTGAGCAAATGTGTTCTGTCAATAGAGAATGCAAAGTTCCAACTGATGAGTACCTTGGGTGATGGTGCATTGAAAGCCCCCATGGAAAGCCAAGTAGACGTCCCTTCCCCCCTGCAGGGACTGTTTGGTAGTTAGGGTTCTCTTTGTATCCTGGCTGTGATAATATCACCCAGCATGAGAAAAAGAAGAAACCGTCAGCTATGTATTGACAATGGCTGATGCCATCCGTCTGCCTGTCTGGCGCTTGCCAGGTCTGTCTTCAGGACCACTGGGATGTGTGTGGTTTGTATTTCAACTCTTCATTTTAATGTTGTAAGTGTCAGCTGGGATCTGCTACCCATTTTTCGTCACCTCTGTTTGTCTTCTAACTTCTGACTCTGCCTCTTCTGCAAATCCTGCCCTATGACTCCAGCCCAAATGGATTTATCCATTCCTTGATCTGCTGTAGAGTTTACCAGGAAAGACTTGAACATAGCCTTTCTGCCTGATGGTTGTGCAGCTGTCAGATTTGAGCTCTAGAATTAGCTAGAACTGAGGAGAAGCTTAGCCTCCTTCCACATATAGACACATCTGAAAGTAAAGGGCCAATGCTTGTTGCCAGTGTAGATATAAATTTAAATCTTTATATTTACATACTTTCATTGTAAGTCAACAAAACTAAAGATACTCATCTTAGATGCTATTCTATTGCTATGAAGGAATACCACAACCAAGGCAATTTTTATAAAATGAAGCATTTAATCATTCAATCGGGGGATTGCTTACAGTTCCAGAGCATTGTTGCCATGGCATGGAGCATGCAGACAGGCAAGCATGTTGCTGAAGAAGTAGCTGAGAGCTCTATATCCCGATCCCCAAGCATCAAACAGGGAGAGAAAGAGACACTGGGTATGATGTGAGCATTTGAAACCTCAAAGCCCAAGCCCAGTGACAAACCTCTTCAAACAAGGTCACAACTCCTAATCCTTCCCAAACAGTGATTGACTGGGGTCTAAGCATGCAAATATATGATCCCATGGGGGCATTCTTTTTCAAACCACCACAACACTTAACACTGAGAATATAGAATGCAGGAACTTCAAAAGGTGTTATGCCCGTTAACATTGTAACCGGACCGCCAGAGTGAGTGCATGTCTCTATTTGTAGAGTAAATGAAGTATATTCCACAGAGGGCCTGAATTCCTGGGCATCTGGGTGAGGTTATGTTATCAAATTCCAGAATATCTTGGCAGAGGCTATTATATAAAATGAAGCTGTGACTGAGAAAGTCATTCTTTTCTCAATGCAGGTGACCCAAACCAGCCCACCATACATACCAATAAAGTTTTACTACAACACTGGCCCCCTCATTCACTTAGGTGTTGTCTCTGACTGAATCTATGCTCCCACGCCTGTTGAGTATGAGATGATACAACTTTAGAAGTCCAAGATATCAGCTTTCTGCCCCTTTAAGAAAACAGTTGGCTGACCACTAAGGAAGCCTTCCTTCTTCCAGAGATTGGCTAATGTATACAGTTTCTTGTACTAATTGGTCAACTGTTGAAAAGTGTTTCACTATGCCCTGTTTTCCCATTTCAAAATTGTCTTACTCTTTTGCAGTAATGCCTGAAAATTCAAATTTTCCTTATCGACGGTATGACCGGCTTCCCCCCATCCATCAGTTCTCCATAGAGAGTGACACGGACCTGTCTGAGACAGCAGAGCTGATAGAGGAATACGAGGTTTTTGACCCGACTAGACCGCGCCCCAAAATCATTCTCGTCATAGGTATGGAGAATGGCTCTCTACTTTGCTGACTTTGTTTGTATGCTTCCATTCAGAAATACTGGGGAGGGTGGCATCTGCAGATGTCAAGCTGAATGATGAATAATGACAATCAACCAGAAACAGAAGTTGAAGGGACAGTACACAGAAATACCTTAAAGCAATTTCCAATAATGCAGACCTGTAATTCTGTTTAACACTTCGTCCACATTTCATTACAGCACCATAGTCATTCTCTGTAATGAGTTCAAAATAATCCTTTCGAGATTTAGGAATCTGTGGTTTTCTTCATGTAATCTTTAATGCAGATAGTCAGTTAGATACTTTCTTTAAAAATGGGCATTTTTTTCCTCTTTCATTGACAAAAGTTTATTCCCTAGTAACCACAGGAATATTCAGCTGAGTGCAAACTAGAACTTACAGTAAAGTAAGCTTCCATCTCACTGACAAGCAGATGTAGGAAAATGGTGCTTTATACCACCAAAGACTTCTGATTATTATGCAAAAAGAAAATAAAGCTCCTTTAACCTCGTGTTGAATATGAAAATGTAACTCCATTTCCCAATAAGGAATAGACACTGAGCGTGTCATGGAGGGAGTGTCTCTCTGTGCAAGGTCACAGGTTTGCCCTTTTGAACATCAGGTGGTCCAGGAAGTGGAAAGGGTACCCAGAGCTTGAAAATTGCAGAGCGGTATGGATTCCAGTACATTTCAGTGGGAGAACTATTGAGGAAGAAAATCCACAGTGCCAGCAGCAACAGAAAATGGAGTCTGATTGCCAAGATAATCACCAACGGGGAGCTGGCACCACAGGTACTACTGCATGGCTGTCTTTTCTTGTCTGAAGAATAATTGTCCCTGCCTGGAATACACCATACATTTTCATCTTTGTGTTGAAGGAAACGACAATTACCGAGATAAAACAAAAATTGATGCAAATACCTGATGAAGAAGGCATTGTGATTGATGGATTCCCAAGAGACGTTGCCCAGGCTCTGTCTTTTGAGGACCAGGTAGGAATATCTCCTTGTATTTTTATTAGACTGTCTATTCTGTCTTCTCTCTTTTCTATCATCTATCTCTCTATCTATCGGTGTGTGTGTGTGTGTTCATGCTCATACACACACATGTTTCTGGAAGTAGAACCAAGGGCCCTGTATATGTTAGGCAACTGCTCTACCATTGAGTGACAGCCTAGCCTTATTATTATGAATTGATTTAAAATAAGTTTTAACGTCCTACTTTTTTACTTACATTTTTGAGATTAATCAAAAACAACAAAGACAAACAATGATTTCTTGGCAGCGTTTCTGAATTCTTGTCTGAAACAGGCAAACCCATCAATGTGTGTTGGCAAAAGGTTCCCCTGCCCCATGGCAAATATTTAAAAAATTAAGGCAGCATCTGCCAAGTAGAACAATACGAGCTGATAATAGAATTCATTAATTTTATTTAAAAGTATAGATATTTCTAAACTTTATTTCAAAATACTTCTTCTAAGATGCCTCTTTATGCTTAATTTCTTCAAAATAAGTCTCAGTTAGCAGTGTCTGGGAGATGGACCTGGGGTCACCCTACACCACCATCCTTGTCAGCTGAGGACACCTTCTCCATTGGGTTAAGAAATGCTGGGCTTCCAGTCTTGAGATGGAGTTCAGCTGCCCAAATGTTTTCAAATGGAGTAAATGGTGGCGTCTCAGCATCTACTGTATCCATCCTAAACAAACACAAAAATTGAAATGTGGTGTCTATTAAATCTTTAAAAAAGATTCATAACCCAGATTGACAACTTTGTAGCTCAGAAGCCCGAAGCCATTCTCCTGAACTATGAGTGCACTCGGGGCAGGGTGAGGAAAGAGGGATGTGCAGAGGTGGCTCTCTCCCATGGGGGGGGGCGGGAACTACCCAGTCTCTATCCTCACTCATGGAGCCCCAGCCAGCAGATCACTTCTCGGAACAGTCCGCAGTCCCTTGCTCTTGCTGTTCTCCATCACACTCTGAGGCTGGAGAAAATCCAATATAAATTTCCTGATACACTCACATTTTAGCATTCTGGAGTTTCTTGGCCACACTGGCTGTGCGGTGGTACCCGAAGGTGATGCTGCAACTGATGCACAGGAGCTCGGTGGTGCAGAGACAAAGCTGAATGGTTTATGTAAAGTGTCAGAGTTGGTCCCGTCCTGCTCCCCTCACACCATGTAGATGGAAGCTACTGCAGATTTATTTTTCTCTCTTTCCGTTTCTGACAACAAATGTGCAAAGGTTTCTACGTGAGTTCTCCATCACCAACTGGGCTTCCAGGGATTTAACTCTCCATAGACGTTAAGTAAGCACCCATAGTTAGTGGAGGCCCCACAGGCTGTTCCCATCCAAGATGCCTCCTCAAATCCCAGCAATTCCCTGAACTTCTGAGTGATGACTGAAAGAAAAAACAGGGATTCTCACAGTGCTCTCTGTAAGTTTTTTTTAATTTATTGAGATGATTGACAGAACCAGGAAAATATGTGGCTTACATATTGGTATATTAGGACTGAGCTTCCTCATGTGTGCACTGACTTTACAAGTCCTTGAGACTCCAAGGAAGTTTTAGTAGCCTTATTCTAACTTCTCTCTTCTCCCTGGGTATCACAGGGTAGGGCTGAAAGCCCCCACTACTCTAGTCCTGTGTCTACCCAGGGCCTTTTCCATGGTCTTCTCATCACCACAGACACATTGCCTTCTGAGTGCTTGTTAGAAAGAGCCAAAGACATGTCACCACTCAAGAAATTCCGAAGGCTTTGGGAGTTCTGTGCCAGGAACAAAGACTATGTTTTTATTAAGCCATACCTCGTGTTTTTCTTTGGTATACTTAAAAATTGATTTCAGCTCATTTTAGTGGAAATACACACACACACACACAGAGAGAGAGAGAGAGAGAGAGAGAGAGAGAGAGAGAGAAATACAAAGAAATTTCCCCTGAGTTTGTCACAGCACAGAACTAAAGCATTAAACGGGCTAGATTTCTGATGCTAGCCATATGTGTGCCAGCAATTTTGATAAAACACCCAACACCTGCCAGGTTCGTAGAACTAACAAGTGTGATTTGTTTTCTTCTCCTAGAGTAAGTACTAACATTACAAATAGGTCAGGTAGTTTTCTCCTTAAGGGACCACAGCTCTCTTTCCATTGATATTCTCCCATTTAGGATGCTGTCATCATTAGCTGTGTGGTTGAAATGAGGGTTGTCATCACATACGAGTTCCAGCTGGTCTATTGGGAAGGGAACATGAAGGTCTGAAGTCACAGGTCAAAAATGACACCCAGCACTGTTGCTCACTGCTGCTGTTCACACCCAGTACTGTGCTCACCAGTGTTCACACACAGCATTGTGCTCACTGGTGCTGTTCACACCCAGCACTGTGCTCACCGGTATTCACACACAGCATTGTGCTCATTGGTGTTCACACCCAGCCCTGTGCTCACTGGTGTTCACACCCAGCACTGTGCTCACTGGTGTTCACACCCAGCACTGTGCTCGCCATTGCTGTTGAGAATTTGGCCATGCTGTCTTCGTGGAGAAGCATGGGAAATGTGTCCACCTGGGCAGATAGGTGCTGCCAACAACTTCATGGCTGTGGAAACTTTGGAGCTTATACTAATTTGTCTCTCTGGCCAAGCGGAAGTGGGCCTGCTTCCTTCTTCCCACACATGGCACACCATCACCCAGCTTGGCGAGCACCCGAGTGTGATTGCGTCATCTCAAAGCTCAGCACCTTGGGTGTATGTAGAATTCTCTTTGCTAGATCCAGCTTTGACTCCTCATACTTGGCTAACTACAACTTAAAGTCAAGTTCTCTTTCTTCCCCGCCACTAAAAAACTGGAGGCACAGGACTAGTAGAGGTAAAATCAAGTCTCCTTTAGCAGGAAGAGGTTTAGAGATGTGTGTTGAAATCACAGAGTCAACTGCACCTCGTGACAAGCCTGTGGAGTGGGCTGCAGGGCTCCTTGTCCAGCCCAGAGGGGTTTCCAGGTTGCACATTCTGGTCTGCTGAGCCTGTTGAAGTGTTACCATGGTATTCTGCTTGGGTTCTCTGATTTCTTCCTGTTCCTTACCAAAGAGGGTAGGAGCAAGCTTGTGTTTGCCTTGGGAAGTCAATGTCCTCACGAAATGACTTCATTGGTGTGTAGACACGGGTCTGCTCATGCTTTTTCTATTCAGTTATTTTATTTGTTACACATTTCCAACACTGTGGTTTTTATGGAAGGAATCTAAATTACATCCTGATCATGGAAAAACATTTCTGTCTTGCTGTCATTTGAACATGGGTAACATCCTCCACAGGTTTACGTAAGCATCTGGTCCCCAGGATGGAGGTATTGGGAGGTTCCACAAAACTTGGAGAGGAGGGACTTTATAGGAGAGCCTCAAGTCACGGAGGCAAGGTCCCATAGGGGTGGTAGGACCCCTCCTTTCTCCTCTCTTCCTGGTTTGATGTGACACCCATTGTGATATGTGCTCCCATTAGGATATGCCACCCTCAACATAGGCCCAAACCAGTGGGGCCACTCAGCTTAGACTTCACCTTCCAGAGCCATAAGCCAAATTACACCTTTCTTCCTGATACTCAGCCTGCCTGTTGAGTAACCCCTTATAGTGACGCTAAGCTGACAGATGCCCTTCACTTTCTTTTTTAAAGTTGGATAGCTTCTACATTTGACTATTTATAAACTTAGTATCAATCTTGGTTTTGATTTCAAATACAGTTCTTTTTATAGATAGGTGTGTAGATTAATTTTCAGAAGGGCCATGCCTTTCTAGTATCCTAGTATCCTTTCTGTCAGTGTGCTAAGTATCCCAACTGAAATAACTTGGGAGAAGGGACCTGGTCAGCTTCTAGTTCTAAGTCATAGTCCATCATCTGGAGGAAGTCAAGGCAGGTGTGTGCATGTTTACGTGGTCAGCTCTGTTTGTTTTGTTGTTGTTGTCTATGCAGTCCAAAGCCTAGCCCATGAAATGGCACTCCCGTGTTCAGGTTGGACGTTCCCCCATCAATTAAGCCAGTGAAGGAAAATTCTTCACAAGCATGTCCACAGAGCACCCTGATCTAAGCAGTCTCTTCCTGAGAGCATCCTCCCAGGTGACTCTTGACTGGCTAAGGCTGACAAAACTGACCAGCACACTTAACCATGGCCATGTTGCTGTGCGTAGCAGGCCAACATTTGTGTTGTTAAAGTAAAATTTCTAGTTTTCTGTATAAAAACCTTGTGCTGTTTTTGTTAGCCGTGTTCCTTGGCAGCTTATAGTGTTATGGACGAATTGCCTGTGTTGTAACCGGTTCTTCTCCGTGTTTGGCTGACCTTGATGGGATTGCTGTGTGTCTGTGGTTTGTCTCCTGACACAGGCTTCTCTTCTGCTCTCTCTGAAGGAGACTTGATTCTTTCTCTCTGAAGGCCCGCTTCCTCCTCCCTCCTCCTGGACCCTCACACCTCTCTCATCAACTCATCACACTCCTCGCTGCAGAGGGTCCTAGCAGACAAAGGATGGCTTGAAGGGGAAACTAAATACTAGAGTTTTGGGTATCGCACAGGTGAACAATTCAGATAGCTACACAGGAAGTGATTTTGAATCATTTCTCAGACCTTCATGTGGACCAGTGGTTGGCTCTTGGGTCAGATGGTGAGCACTGACTCTGCTAATCTGTAGGCTCTTGATTAATTTATGGGCTCCCGGAAGCCTCACTGTTCTCCTAGGAGAATGAGGAGGACAATACCTCACAAGATTGCTGTGAGAGTGAGTCAGTCCTCTCGTTCCAGGCAGAGGCCTGGCCATAAGTAAGCATGTGAAGATGGCTAATGGGCCACAACAAACAAACAAACAACAACAAAGACAGGGAAGGCCAGTTCTTCCCTCCTGCCGGAGGCTGTAAAGGCAAAGACGCTATTTCTTCTATAGTCTATTTCCCAAACCCACTGATAAAACCCTCAGAGGCCTCCTTGAGATGGTAAGGCTGCCCACAACAGCTCTGCTTTAGC